TGGGGAAAAAGAGGAGGTGGTTACACATATGCAGATTATACATGGAACAATTTACAGGTACTTTCATCAATTAACAATTGTAAAACTGTATGTTAAAACCCAATTATATCTAACTTTTGAGATAGCCTGAAATCTTGATATATGTGAGTTCAGCAGTCTTTCAATTGACTTGTGGCATTTTTTTTGTTCTAGATCAGTACTTTGAGATCAGTAATGGAGTGCTTTGGGTGGTTAAAATGCTATATTACTTTGTCTATTTTGATGTCCATTCTTTTATGTTTTTATTTGCTAACCTACCCTTATTATTTTTATAAACAACTCAAGGTGGTGAACATATATAATGCTCCTTCTTCCTCCTATTTTCTCCATAAAAACCCTATGAGGTGAGTTGGGCTGAGACAGACTGGCCCAAGGTCACCCAGCTAGCTTTCATGGCTAAGGCCAAACTTGAATTCATGGTTTCCTGGTTTCTAGCTTGGTGCCTTAACCATTAAACCAAATGGCTCTCTGCCTGACCTGTTTGTCCTATAAGAGTCCAGATGCTATTTGATGATGGCATATATCACATTTAGAAGAAAAACATGTATGGATGCTCCTTAACCTTGTATGCAAAATTGTTGGAGTCTGTAATAGTGATAGTGATATAAATTTTGTGGGGGCAAAAGAGACATCTGGGTTTCTTGGTTTATCTTAGCATCATCTTCCTGTTGTTTCTGCTTGCTGGGAGAATCTGCTTCAGTTTGGATGTCTTTCTCAGTGCCTGAGAAAGTGCAACGTCATTGTCCATTTTGGGTTGTAGCATATTAACACTTTAGTGTTTGAGTAGCTTACTGGAGTATACTCACCCATAACTGCTTAATTTCTGAAAACAACATAAATATGCAAATCAGTACCACAGCCCCGGACATATTCATGGCTCTAAAATATGCCAATATTTTCATGGCTCACCTAAAACACTTTGTCAATTCTTAACCCCAAAAGCTGTTTTTATCAATGATATTATTGATTCACCGATGACGTGTTTATCATCTGCATTTACTAAAAAGAATCTCTCATCAAATTCTATGAGACCCTCAACAACTTCCACCTCACGATCCACCTTAACCTCAACCTATCTACAGAACAAATCCACTTCTTTTATGTCACAGTAAAACTATATAAAGGACATATCAACGCCATGTTATACATGAAATCTCAGATCACTGTGTATCTTTTTCCAGCCTCCATCAGGGACCCCCAATCAGATCTATGAATATATTCTGGCATAATAGGGATATGGTTTCCTTCAAAGCTTCATTCGTTTCCATATAAAATCAATACAAAATCCAAACCCTGATTATTAATAAATAATCTCAATAAATGATGGATAAAAGTTCAACAAAGGCGCAAGTTCTATCTGGTTAGCATTCCTGAAAATTATTTTTATCTAGCTCCAATCAGAGTTCAGTGGCTGCTTTAAGAAATTATTTTATGATGCAACATGGACTTTTAAGTGCATTTTGAATTAGCTACTATCCACAAAGCAGTTTTAAGTAGTCCTAGAATTCAGGGGTAGGCAACCTTGGCTCTTTTATGATTTGTGGACTTCAACTCCCAGAATTCCTCAGTCAGCCTGGCTCAGGAATTCTGGGAGTTGAAGTCCAAGAGTCATAAAAGAGCCAAGGTTGTCTACCCTTCCTAGATCATAATGGGATGTGATTATCTTCAAACAAGGGACTCCCCTTTCATGTCTCAAGTTAGTTTCAAAGCTATACTATTATATTAGTGTCAATCAGGCAAGTTTGGGGGGGGGGATCCTAGCTTTTGAGATTGTAGAAATGTTCTTCTGAGTTATGATTAAAAATTAGGTAAAAAAGCAATAGTGGATCCAATATATTACAGGTAGTCCTCAACTTACAATCACAATTGGGACCAGAAGTTCCATCCTAAACAACGTGGTTGTTAAGTGAGTCACACCATTTTTTTTTACAATTCTTAATTCAATCATATGGTCATTAAGCAAATCCGGCTCCCCTCTTTGCTTGTCAGAAGCCCCCTGGGAAGGTCACAAATGGCAAATATGCAATCATTGTAAATCAATGTCAGTTGCCAAGCACTCAAATTTTATGTCTGCGGGGATGCTGCAACTGTCGTATGTCTGAAGACTGGTCGTAACTTTGAATGGACATTAAGAAATTGGTCATAAATTGAGGACTATCTTATACATGATGTCTCCATTTAATGAATCCAGATTATCAGACAAATATAAGACTGTATTCCGTTCTAGATGCATCTATAATTATTCCTATTACTGCAAGAGTGTTCTTGAAATCTGGAACCAAAAAAGAATTTATTCAAAAGATGGCAGATGAGGAAGTGTCTTAACTCTGAAGCCATCGTTCATCAATTGCAGGATCTATGGGAAAGAAATTCAAATGCCTGATGGACTTTAATCTATTCATTAATCTATTCCCAATAATGTATTCACTAACAACTGAGGTCTGTAGTTTTTCTTAATTCCCAACATTGTATAATCATTTTTTTCCTGGCACTTACACCTAATTAATGTGATTCTGTATGGATCTTGATTATATGCTGCTGTTAGGGGCTTGACAGTCATTGTTATTACGTTTCTCATACAGTACTACAGTGATTATTTGCCCCCGTTATTCCAAAGCTGATCTAGACAAAACAGGTGCAGTCTTAAATAACGGGCATCCATGTTTACTCCCAATTCTGAAATGTTTTTTTTTAAACATTATCGTGAAGATCCACATTAAATCTTTTTTGGGTTAGTGTACTCATTGCAAAAAATAGTTTTGCTGGATTTCTGGAGAAGCAATAGCAAACTGAAGGTGACTCCACTGAAAGCAGAATTGACTGTGGCAGAATGATGAGCCGGTGAAGGGATCTGCTTCTTGGAATTCCTCTCCAGAAAAGGATAGGACTCAGGACCATCCACAAGCACTTCAGATAGTAGCTTCCTGTGAGGACACCACAATTAGTAATTGTAATCTAGTAATTATAAAATAGTAATCTCCAGCAGGCTTGGGGCTCTGGATAACTGAGGGATTGCCATCTTTGCCCAAGCCACAATTGGCACCATTATGGGCTCAAGGTTCGCACACTTCCTTTCTTAAATCACTTCTGAAAATTGCTTAACAATTTTTGGGATGTTAAGAATCTCCAAAACAGCAAGTATCACTTCAGGGAAAGACGTTTCATGCAAGTTTAAGGATTTAAAAAAAACACTTATTTCAGAATAAACAGCGAAAGAGTGATTAGAAAATTGATCCTGGAGAGGTATAAATAGACTAAGGAGCTAGATGAAATTTGAAATAAGAGTGATTAGAACATTGGTTCTGGAAAGGTATAACCAGACTAAGACGCCAGATGAATTTGAAATAAGACTTTGAAATTCATTTCAAGTCTTCCTGTTGAGTGGCTCAGAATTCTTATCAAAAATATATAAAGATTTTGAAATTAAACAGAAGAAACCTGCCCCTGAGAAAATGCTGCTGATTAGGAAAATAATGAGAATTTCAAGCTTTTATTTATTTATTTTTTATTTTTCATAATTTATATGCCGCCCTTCTCCCCACGGGACTCAGGGCGGCTCACAGCATATTAAAATAACACAATACAAACAACACACACAACATTTCCCCTATAAAAGCCAATTAAAACCGAATATTTGTAGCTGTGACATTATTAAAATCATTAAAAATTATCCCTATTTAAAATTCACCCTAGGTC